CAAGGCAAAAGCATCTTAAGATGAAGAAGCAGACTCGTCAACAGGATTATGTACGTGTGAGAACTGAAGACCAGCGCTGGCGACTAGACTCAGCCACACAGCGAGATCTGTTCCTGATGTATAGTTCAGTCACGAAGAGGCTGATATGCTTTGGTGGCTCTTCATGCTTATCACGCGGCTGGGAATCACTTTCTTTATGCACCCTGATGACCCTTATGTCTTTGTCCTACTGTTTGCTCATGGCTAAACCTTTACTTTGTAAAGTGCTACGTGAGAAAGGGAAGAGGCACGAAAACTAGAATATTAAAAATGTCTATGCAACTCGGCCCAGGAATTTTCATCCGTTGCTTCATAAGGGCCCTTATCGGTGTAAACTCTCGGCGATCACAAGCTGTGATGACATCTCTACGTATACCTTCTTGAATTGGTAAGGAAAGTGGAAAGCAATTCAGCTTCCACAACACAATGAAGGGTAAGTCCGAGCTATGATGAGTATTGGGGAGGAGTGATTAGTATCTGAGGAGACCTTTTAATAAAAGATACCGAAGCACTCGTGCAGTGTGGCAACTATACTGAAAGACGTGTCAAAGTGTGAATGTGCTGAATATGAGATCCACCTGACCATGGTAGGCTGGCGGGAAAGTCAAGCTAGAGAATCTGAGCCCATGCGAGTCATCTTTATGAGATTACAGGAGTAATATATCAAGCCGCAAATCTGAAGAGCCATTCTACTCCCCTCATTGGCACGTTAAGTAGAGTATACATATAGCTCAAAAGTCGTGCCGTTGTGTGGTTGTACTTAAGCCGGCTCCTGTAAAAAATTACTCTCCATTGCGTGCAAGAAAGCATAAACTGTAATTATCTTTTACTGAAAGAATGTAAAGGGTTTCGAATGATAAGTACTTCTGCGGGTGTAGAATACTTAAAATGTTGAGCAGAAAGATTATTACTTTTGTCATCTTTTTCGTTGACTTTTTTCAGGTTCGATAATATTTAGATCCCTCCTGACAAGACACGTTTTGTATGTTGTAAAACTCTTTCTGAAACTCCTGCTTAGGAACTCTTTTTACCTTATGATGTCAGAGACGCAAATCCAGTACATTTAAACATATTTTTATGTTATATTTTCCAAAACGAATGATGTTGTGCAGATTAATTTATGCCATCAACCAGATCATGACGCTTTTCAGTGTTCTAAAACAAGCTCTAGACTGAAGAATAGAGCAAGTAATCCAGTCGATTTGTGCTTTATGGCTTCTTGTTAGAAATGTTTTACTTAACGAGGAAAGGACGTTACAATATCCCTAAGCACATTCTTCTAGCAATGTGATGCAGAGTGCCTGAATAGTAATTTTATCAGTTATTCAGATGAATGAGATAGCAGTTGAATACACTACTGCTAAAAGCAAAATGGCGGTCACTGTGACGCCATATAGACGTCACCTTTAACAATCTTAGAATAATACTTCTGGCACCTATCATTTTAGATAATCGTCAAAGCAAAAATTGTGTGTTTTTAAGAGGAAATCGAAGGTTTGTTTATAAATCTAAGATGGCGGCTAAAAGGAGGGTATGAGGGGTAAATTTAAAATTCGATTTACAAAGTGAGAGCTACCGTTCTATCCTTGCTATCATGCATTTTTGTGATGCTTTTTACTCAAAGATTAAGATTATATATGTTTCGTTTGTTCCCCTCAAGTGAGCCATACAACCCCCCCCCTAGCTGATGGACTACAACACTGCAGGCCTGAGAATCCACAAGAAGATAATTGGCGACCGGTGTATATCGAGCAAATAAATCATTTCTTATAACTTCGATCTTTTGGCAAAGGAAATCAACAAATCTATTTGCTAGCTTCTCAGTGTTACGGTGGAGGAGCTAGGTAACTGTGTTAAACAAGACCTGATGGCCTTTATTTTCTTGTATTATGTTGGAGTAATAGTCTTCCTTTACTTTCTTGCTAAGAGTAATGATAGTTCCTTGTATAATTCTCTGTCAATAACCAGGCGTGATTTGCGCCAGTCCCTTCTAATTTCCGTCTTTTCCTCTTTTCTCGGTCAATGTCACTATTATACCAGGTAGCAGCGGTTCCACCGTGATAGCTCGTTTTTTCTCCAGAGCATGGATGTCAAGTACTCTTGTTAGTTCAGTTTCGTATTTATCAACTAGCGTTGGTAGATCAGTGATGTTTTCTTGCAAGACAATGGAATCCCTCAAGTCCTTGCACAGAGTACTCATATCAACAGATCGCAGTTTACGGTATCTAATTTCATGCTGTTCAGCTCGAGGCTTGCTTAGTTTCAGTGTGCAGTGCACAGCAAAATGGTCCGGATCTCTGACCACGATACCATCCACTAGGTCATCTTCGGATCGAGTGATGATTAGATCTAGGATGTGTCCCCTAGAGTGGATGGGTGTGGCAACATGTTGCTTCAAATTAAAAGATTCTAGCAGGTTGTGAAGCTTGGTTGCATCGGTGATATTACTGTCATCAAGATGAAAATTAAAATCACCCACAATCAACAAGTTGCCTGAAAATGGAACAAGCTGCTCGAGGAGGCTCGCGAAGTCTTCGAGAAACGCTTTGATCTGCGACGATGGAGGTCGGTAAATGACAACGAATCTTATGCTTTCGATGGGATATTCAGCAAGCGTAACCTCATTCTCAAAGGAACTAAAATTCGCTGAACACAGCTTCTTAACTCGGAGTTGTTTCTTAACTAGTATACAAACTCCACCGCCTCTTGAGTTCTCCCTGGGAGTATGATGATAAATATATCGTTTCGGGCATATCTCGCCAACAAAAAAGTTGCCACTCTCCCCCGAGTGAAGCCAAGTTCCGTTAAAGGCCCATGTTCACCCTAGATGCATTGCGCGCCCTGTACTCCAGAAAAAACATTACGCGTAGGTGAAAATCGCTGCCTTTAGTGTGTAAAGTCAATCTTTGTTAATCTTCTACAGTTCGCTAAATCTGGTTTAAAAGAAAGTCTCAACAAGTTCTTTTGGTATTTTTCTTTATATCTTTTCGGATATTTTGGAATGGTATCGAGCCTTTTTGTTTCTGTGAGTGTTTGTTTCACTGCAGCACTTTCGTTGGCGGCTCCATCGAAGCGAACGGTTGGAAGCATGGTTGGAAGACCGCGTCGACGGGGGTCGCCGAAGTACATTCGTCGCCGTGAATCCGCTTTTTTAATCCCTGGCGAGATGGGAAAGAAACTCTTGGCTGTAAATTCTACAGACAGCGTGTTTGCCGAGTTCCTTCTACATTGAATGTTCAATTGTAAACAAAGGTCCCGTTGAAATCGGTTGAAAGCAAAACAAGCGAATCAATCTAACATGAACAATGCTTTATTTAATTTAACCTATGAAGCGAGTGATATCCTTAACGTAAACTTATCGTCTGGCGTATCACGATTAAAGCCGGCTCTAAAGTAGCGAGAACTCTTATTAGCAAACCAATCCTTAGCAAAACCTAAAGAAAGTGTAATACAGCGATTACAGCGATTACAGACTGTATGCAGTGCTGATTCGGCGCTTTGCAAACACAACTTCTAGCTTATTCTTTCGAGAACACATACCTAAAAGCTTCCTAAGAATTAACACAAAATAATAGATTGAGGAATCAAAACATTTCACAGTCGAATCGGGCTTCAGGAAAACCTCACCTGGTGCTTAAACGTTTCGTAATTTATGACCTTCATTGTGTTCATCGGACTGAACAAGGCATCCATATGCATTCACTACCAGTTTAAATTTCGAGGTGCTTTCTGCGGTGACATTTAACGAAGTCGGCGATATATCTTCCTCCATTTGGAAAAGAATTAAAAGTCTTACTGGCCTCTTTGATACTATCTCTCTAAGCTTCGGTCAAGCGTGAAAAAAGCTGCAATTGTAGTCTCCCTCGCAGTCGTTTTTAGTATCGTCACGCAACGCTCCTCAAAGTGGAAGCCAATCAAAACACTGCATTTGACAAAAGAATCGTTTCAAAACAAAAACACAAGCGCGCAAAGCCGTTTGGGTGAACATGGGCCTTTAAGGCAAGGAAGTCAAGATCATGCTCAACGGTGTAGTCCTTGAGTGACAGTGCTTTGTTTTTAACAGATCGTACATTCCATAAACAGAAATCTAATGAATGCGACAGCGACGAAGAGTTAGATCTTTTGGAATTAATTTTTATGCAGTTCGATTCATCACATGTGCGAGAGCAGCTGGTCTTTTTTTTTTGCGGTCAGTACACGTGACAGGAATCTTACAAGTACTTCTGCTAATCGACCCTGGCAAAGGATGAACATCGCCACTTAGAGAGATCGTCAAAGCATTGAAATTGAACGTTGCTACTGAGTTTGGATAGTACGCAGTGCGGGCCTTGAATCATCTCTTTGTTTTCGCTTTCATCAAGTGGGAAAAATTAGCTGAATAGTTCAATCCAATATGAGTGCATTGTTGCATGGCAATTAACGCCCGATGCAGTTGCTTTCTAAGCTAAGCACATCCTTAGGGAATAATCCATCTTGTATGCTAATTTCAAGCTCGTCATGGTTTGTTGAAGCTGACCAGCTCTTTGATACAGAATTTGTGAAAAATTGAAGCAAATTACTGCACGAAGATGCAATCCAAGGGCAGTGCTTTGTTCCTCTTATCGTTACAAATGCCTAGTTGGAGCAAGCAAACGATCCAAAACGAGAGACCTAAAAACACGCGGCCGGCCGTCATAATGATATGCATTCATTAATATTCATTTAAACTAAAAGTTAACAGCACCTTCAATGAAAAGCTACTATGCTGATATTTCTACTCCAATGTTTTTTAACGGGTGTTTTCAGCTTGCTTGACTGCAATATCTACTTCCGGTTAATACATAGCACAAGGTTATCGGTACAGCTTTCGGTATATGTCGTACGTTCAGGCAATGTCAACGGTAGTGACAGAGTGTGAGTGTACAGTTAAAATAAATTCTACTGACAAATTAAGGCAGAACACTATCATTAATTATTTTTTCTTATCCATTGTATTCCTCAATGGCGTTTGTGACTTGCTTGACGCCCACCAATCGGTACACAGTGGATTCCTCCTTAATTCCTCGGAAATCCAGGGAAGGCTTCCCATTTTCGCCAACGTATGGAGCGAGATACTTCTGCAAACGCTCTTCGGTGACAAGCGAAAGATCCAATACGCCGTGTGTAACAGACCAGTGCCACTTCATAAGACTCTGGATGGATTCAAAAGCAAATGAGGCGCAAAATCTGTCGTGTTTGACAATTTGAAATCCCGCTGATGAACAATAATGTTCGATCTTGGTTTTGGTCTCACATTGGTACATCTCTTTGCAGATACGTTCCCCATTCTCTGGATTCAGCAGCATGTAAGCGTTGAACTCAAACGGAGGCAAACAGTCCACATAACTAATCGTTATTTTTCCTCCAGCTCTAAGACTGTTAAACATGTTGTTGAAGACTTGCTTCTTGTTTTTCATGAAATGAAGGGCATAATTACTGAAAATAATATCGAAGGGCCCCAAGCCAGTCTGTGGCAAGATTGAAGCACTCCCCTCAACAAAAGAGAGATTCTTGACTTGCTTGTGAGACTCTCGGGCCAGCTGAATTCTTTCGTTGTCAGGATCGACACCGATAACTTTCCCCTCGGGTCCTACCAACTCAGCGAGGTATGCAGACAGCTCTCCTGTACCGCAGCCTAAATCCAAGATGACGTCTCCTGCTTTGGGGCAGACATCTTTTTGAATGAAGTCTTCACCGTCAACCTTTTGCTGCAAAAGCGAGGCTTGTTGGTAACCTTCGGCGGCTTTTCGTTGCATTTCTTTTACTAGTTGACGAGACTTCTTTTAGAGATCAAATGGGATAGTGTAGCTGATCAGCAGACTGAAAAACGAGCTTATATAGTATGGTGCCAGACAAGTGCATTTAGCGAACATTCATTTTACCCACGGCGATATTCTCCCGTCCCTCGATATGATACGTGGCTAAGTCAGTCGTTAGACAATATCTGAATCTTGTCATCCGTGCAAACAAAAACCCCACATGTCGCCGCAAAGCGAGCCTCTTTCAAAGGTTACCCTATGGGCATTAATTACCACTCTGACGTCATTCCCGCGCTACGTTATTAAGCACGTACAAGCAACAGGAGGGCATTTTGAATGTGCATGCGTCAATATGGGCTGTTGAAGTGCCACAGAGGCATTTTCTGTGAATTGGTTACGTTCAGTACCAGCATTTGCGGGCTGTTTTCTGGAGCTGAATGACGTATATTGGGTGCTACGTTCCACAAACGTGCTCTTTAAGGTATCGTTGTATTTCTACGACGAAAGTAAGTTTATTGTAGCCTCGCTGTCGCCCTTGAGAGGACAGTCTTTCCTTTCGTGAAACAGTACATTGAAGACAAAATGGCGGCTGAATGTTCTTACGACCTAACATTTCGTGCACACTTTTTGAGCAGGAGGAAAAGGTCAGTATGATAATTTTTCTTTAAAAAATTATCCTAGATACTTAATTCTTCTCAATAGTGTAACTCTAAAATCGAAATTAATCGTTTCAGGAATACAGTGGTTAAGTAAGTGCCCATTATGTCGTGAAACTGTTTTACACCCTTTCGCTAGCTTGTTTATCACGAAATCTTGCCTTTCTCCCCAAATTAAGTTAATGATTAATGAAACTAAGAATACTTCCGCGAATGAATGGCGCTTTGATGAAGGCTGTGAAAAATCGCCTTCTGCAGTAATTTCAGCTTTCTTCACCAGTACGTCTTCGTTGAGAAATAAAATACACGTACTTCAACTATAAATTTAAATCAATATAATGATGCCAGTAAGATTGTGTTTTGAAAATAAGAATATTCTATCATTTAGTTATGCAGAGGAAAAAAATTACAGCAATCGGTTTGAATTCTGATTTTTGCCACTTCATTTTGATGGTACACTGTTTGTTTACATTTCATTATGCAAATAAATATAACATTTTGGCGTTTTAAAGAAAATCTAGCCTAACTCCCCAACCCCAAAATAGCACCGAATGAAACGTCATCAATACACCTTTTAAATAAATCCTGGCTTTTGTTGCAGAAAAAAACTACATTTATTCCTAAATGATACCATTTTGTGGATACTACATTTGTTGATATGCTAATTTGTGAGACATTTCATTTACAAATGATATTGAATGAGACCAGCTTCTCCTCTGTATTGAACCACATTCTTGTTTAATGAATCAGTTTCTGCTTGATAATTCTTCTATGATGTACAACTGAACTTACAAAAGGGGTTCATCCGGATACAGTAAAAAGCTCCCAACAGAAACGTTAATAACAGACAAATTCATCCATCCGGATGATTTGTGCCATGTTTGTTGTCGCATCCCTCCTCATTGGGGTCCTCTAGCAGTAGTATTTATTTTTTGAGGAAACAGCATTATATGCACCCCTTTAACAAACTTCCTGTCTTATGTCTAAACAGGCTTTGAAGGTGAACAACATCGTCAGTTACATTTATGGAGTGATGGCCATTCTCTATTTTGAATGGGTCACTACTGTCATCAAATATAAATCAATAACAAGAAATCGATTGTGGAACACAGGAGCTTTTACTCAAGAGTCGCTTCAAAATAGTAGCTTGGGGAAGATCTCTGTATCTTTTAGAGTTAAAGAGAAATATAAGTATCGTTCGTTTTTGCGGGTATGTATATTCGTCTTGTCTGCAACTGAGCTTATGATATGCTCAAATGATTATGTAGTACATAATCACTTGTAATTGTTGCTGTCTCAAACTCAATCCATTCTTCATTTCCCCTGTAGAATATTTTTTATAAAATTTTCCTTAAAAACTTTCGAAAAACTGTAAAAAATCCCATAGATTTCATGTTTTTATGGCATATATAAACGCGTGTCTCCGTGATCAGTTTAACATGAGACATCGCGCTAATAAATAAACCTTGCGAGATGATTTTTTTTTCGCTTTTAGTCTAAAAGCAGCTGAGATGCATTTCCTCCTTGATAAGTAAAACCACGAATTTGGAAATCAAACCATAGAAATGCATTGCTTTGAGCTGCTTTGCCAGTGAAAATCCGACTTATACAGGACCATGACTTTTTGGCATTGAGTCTTGAAAGTCTTTGAAGGGCCAAGAAAACCTACTACGGAAAAATCTACAAGTGAAACACCCTCGTAGAAAACGTCCGATTTTTGTCATAGAGAATATTTTTGTAGGGAAGTACGGTATTCAAAGCACAAACGAAATGGCTTTTAAAAGGACCTTACCTTTACGCGTTCATGGGATGCACGCATGCGCATGCAAAATGCCCTCCTGTTCAATTCTTACAAGAAATAAAACCTCGACACATACAAGCAAGCAAAAAAGATGCTTTCCTTGTCGATTTTTTTTGTATAGTCATTCCGGCTTCTCACGAAACAAAATAGTACTTCACGTCTAATGGCAATCCTTATTACAAACAGTTTTCTAACAAATAAAGAACACTTAGAAGAAAAAAAAGGATAAAGGAACGGTATTGGAAAGTGGAGCCGGTTTTAGGGCATTTTTAGAGGACAGTGAATTTATTTTGTTCATTATAAACGTAGTTTTTACTCCGTAAGTGATCTTTTGTGATCTTTAGGGTAGCTTTGGAGCTTCCGATATGATATTTGAGGCGAGTGTGTTAAAGATCATTATTATTCATTCAACTATTTCCCTAATTCTGATTGGCTACAAGCACACGCATAATTCGCTCTTGCAGTTACTGATGACCAAATTTGGAAGAATTTTGTGTTTAAAGAGGAAATGACGTGAAACATGCAGCCCGCTACACGTTAAGGCACCGTTCCTGGGAAGACCTGGGGACGAGGTTGAGTTGTTTTGCCTTTGAAAGAAAAAAAAAGGCGGACGTTTCACTCGTTTCAAGAGTAAGAACTACAGCTAGAACTAGGCAAAATAATAGCTAAGAACATGGCAAAAACAGCAAGAAGACAACTCGGAGGGCGACATCTGCTATTTGGAGAATATTTGCGGAGCTGGACAAACCTAAACGTACACTCTCGAAGATGAATTTAACATTGATGCAGGTTATCATGTTTCAGTTATGTTTTTAAACTTAGAATTATTTTGAATGAATAATAAAGCAATCAATGAATTCGACTTTCGTGGATATAAAGAGTTAAGCAGATCTCGGAGGGTGTTATCCACCAAGGCCGAAGGCCTTACACTTAAAAGATATTTTTTCTAACAAGAACACAACTACTTTGTCTCCTCCCCCCTCTCTACTTCCGGTTAATACATAGCATAAGGTTATCGGTGCTACTTTCAGGATACGTCGTACGTTCAGGCAATGTCAACGGTAGTTTGAATTTGCTTGTCGTCAGGGTCACAAAGTGCTCAGTTACGTGGTAAATACAACAATGAGTGAATTTAACTGCAGCTAAATAAACGAGCAATTTGTTCGCTGAAACATTACATATGAACCTTTCGTAAAGCAAAAAGAAACAAGAATTTATTAGATCACATTACCTTGCGATAAGAGCGTGACCGTGACAAAATATTTTGCGTCCTCTTCATATGAACAACCAAAGAAACCAATCAACACGAGATCTATGAAGCCCAAGACAGTACACTTCGTTGAAGAAAAACATTAAGAGCGACTTTCTGTAAATACCACGGATAGGTGTGCAAGATGGAAAAATCGAAATCTCCCAAACTTTGACACATTAAAGCCCCTATGAAACTGTTTTAGAAAATACAAGATTTAGTTTCTTGTGATTGATATTTTCCAAAAAAATAATTTTTTTGAATTTTCACATTCGAGAGGCCCTCAAACCACCGAAAAATGCGCTTTGCATCCTTGCTTTGTGAATAGAAACAGAAACAAATACCATGACTATTGCGATATAAGATGATTTTATGACCCTTCCGTTGTATGGAAACGTTGCTATAATTTCAAACGATCTCAGTCTGAATTTTTAATTATTTTTCAAAATCACCCTCTTAAACAGTTTTATCGCGACTATCAATTTTGCCATTTTTCAACGGCAAAAAACCCTTCCTGGTACATGACTTTCTTTCTGCAAATGCTATTCCAGAGAAAGAGCAATCCTTCTTCTTTCAATTTATGAAATAAAATTTTGGGCCAATTTAAACGGCAAGTTTTGAGAACTGAAAACATTAACGGTACTTGCGTGAAATTTACAACTTTTGAACTTACGGTTGTGATGACGAATACAAGAGTAAAGTTGGACCGCAGTTGCAATTTTACAAATAATCCTGCCTTTTCCCTTAGCTATTAAAAGAAGACTGGTTACTTTTTATTGTTTACTGTCTTTCCTTCAGTTTACGCCGACTAGGAGCTTCCTTCCTTTAGAAATATATTCCAGACGCGTCGATATATTTTTGTTTTCGAGGAATGTAAATACCCGATATCTGTTTCTAATTCGTATTCAATCTACAAACTTATAACCGCTTCATAATTAACACAAACTAATACAGCCAATAAAACCAATAAGAAAGATTTTCTTCGTGTTTGAAAGATATATGTTTGACTGAAGTAGTATTAAAATTGCCAACGTACCTTGGCACGTGCATTACGTCAGGAAGCGATGGCGCGCCATCCTGGCTCAGTGTACGACAATTTCATTTTCCACCGCGAACGTGAGAACATTATACAATGAAGTCTTAACGGATCTTCGCTTGTAGTTTCGCTTGATGTTTTATATTCGTGTAAGTGAATAGTTAAAGTGAATAGTTAATGGCTACCTGTAGTTATTCGAAACTCATTGGGGGGGGGGGGGGGGGGGG